GAGACCCTATGTCAAAAAAAGAAAAAAGAAAAAACTCAGACAATGTGTAACCCAACACTGGCTAAATTCTGAAGTGCCTAAGATATGTACATATAGTATCCTTGGATAGTCAGGCCCGGCATGGTGGCACATGCCTTTAATCCCAGCAATGGGGAGGCAGAGGCAGCCAGGGCTGTTATACAGAGAAACCCCGTCTTGAAAACAACAACAAAAAGTATGATTTGTCTAAAACAATTTTTTTATGCTCATATGTGCTTCATTTTCCTTATAATGAAAAACACTAATAAATGTTTATATCTTCTCTCTAGGCTTGGTTTTCTGAGGGAGATGAAATGACATATACTCTAAGTCCCATCTAGTGCTCGACTCTGACCTCTAAGCATTTAAAAGAGCCTATATATTATACTTCTCAGTGTCAGACTACTTCCCTACACTTCAGTCCCTCGGGACCCCATGCTTCCTCTGCAGAAAGAGAACACATACACTTAGTTCGTGAAATGTCTGTAATCCCAGAACCTGCACAGGCAGAACACAAGTTCAAGGTCAGTCTAGGCTACATAGTAAGACCTTGTCTCAAAAAATAATTTGGGGGGCAAAGGCAACAGATAATTCAGTGGTAGTGTTCGCTCAGCATACATTAAGGCCCTGGGTTCAATATTACCCATTTCACACGTGTTTAATTTAGTTGTAAACCTCACCCAAATTGGGGCTTCTAGGTGATTCGAATACCTGTAAAATTTTATATTCCTTGGACTGCGGGATGTGCCTCAGTGGCAGAGTTCTTGCCTAACATGTATTATGAGGCTTGATCCCCAGAGCGTGCACTCACTGTTGCTGTCTCTCTCTCTCTCTCGCTCGCTCGCTCTCTCTCTCTCTCTCTCTCTCTCACACACACACACACACACACACACACACACACAACACACACACCTCTTATATTCCTTGAAAAAAAAAGCAGAAAACAAAAATATGTCAAAATGGCCAACTGTCAAAAATGTAAAAGACCTACTTACTACTTAACCTAAAAGTAAAATTCTGACTTCCTAATTAAAGATGACTATTAACTATTTTGCTTGCTTTGTTGAGAAAGAGTCTCACTATATGGTGAAAAGTGGCCTCTAATTCTCAACCCTCCCAAGCCACTATACAGGGCAAATTATTAGCTCTATTTTCAAATCAGAACTCAGAACCAAAAAAAAAAAAAAAAAAAAGGTCACTATCCTATAGCATTTGTATTCCTAGAGTTTGAAAGATAAAGGCAAGGAGAATAAGGAGTTCAAGATCATCCTCTGCTACTTGACAAGTTCAAAGCCAGACTGGTCTATTTGAGACCTTGTCAAAAAAAAAAAAAAAAAAAAGTCAATTATATTCAGAAATGACAATAAGTACAAACTCAGTTATGAAAGAAAAACTTCAATTGCAACAGCTAGGAGAGTTTAAATATCTGCCACAAAATACAAATGTACCTACAAGATAGATACATAAAATTTTACACCCCCCCCCAAAGTATCAACGCACTCAAATCGCCCACTTAAAGGCAACTTAAGTATTTCAGACTTTTGACTTTTTTTTTTTTTTTTTTTGAGACAGAGTTTCTCTGTGTAGCCCTGGCTGTCCTAGAACTCACTTTGTAGACCAGGCCTGCCTCTGCCTCCCAAATGCTATGATTAAAGGCATGTGGCAATATTTCAGACCTTTTTTTTTTTCCTGGAACTGGCTTTGTAGACCACCTGGCCTCAAACTCACAGAAATCTGCCAGCTTCTGCCTCCTGAGTGTTGAGATTAAAGGCATGTGCCACCACTGCCTGGCTTCAGATGTGTTTTAAAGAATGTTTTAACATAGTTTTTAAAAGATCTTAGTACACCATTATAAGGACACTTCTAAACAAATGGTCTTTTTTTTTTAACTATGCAAACCAGAGCTACTAGACCCAGATGAAGTTTGTCCTGAGAATGAAGGGGGTGGGGGGAGCCTTTCAGGACGGGTGTGTAACACTTCGAGGGAACACCTCCCTAACATGCCAGAGGCTCTGGGGTTCTGTCCACACCCAACACTGGGGGGGCAAGGGAGGGACAGAAAATGAAGGAAAGGAAGCAATACCTGAACTAGCAATCATTAATGTTTCACTCTTTAAACTTTTTATTATTTACTTACACACGCACGTCTGAATGCCACATGTATGCAGGTGCCCAAAGAGGTCTGAAGGCGGCTTTGAATATGCTGGAGCAGTGATTACAAGTGGCTGTGAGCTGCCTGGTGTGGAAGCTAGGCTCTGAAGAGCACCAAGTCCTCTTAACTACTGAGCAATCTTCTGGCCCCTGTGAATTCAACTTTTAATTAAGTATGTTGTATTTTTACATCATCATTATTTTTGTTTGATAGGTTTTGGATTGGGAGAGTGTTTTGGTTTTTTGAGATATTCATATTTATGAATATTCATATTATGAGTATGAATTAGATATTCATATTATGTAGCCCTAACGGGCCTGTACTTCTATGTAGGCCAGGCTGGCCTTGAACTCAGAGATCCACCTGTCAAGGTTTGTGCCACCATACCCACCTGGTTTTGTTTTGTTTTGTTTTGTTTGATGTAGGGTCCTACTATACAGCCCATGTTTTATATAGCTCATATCTGCCTCAACTTGCTAACTGTAGCCCAGGCTGGCCTCGAACTTGATAACTATAGTCCTGGCTGGCTACAAAAATCACAATTTGAGTGCTAGGATTGCAGGTGTACACAATCACGGTAGGATCTAATTACAGTTTTTCTCAGATTTATTTTATTTTTTAAATTACATGTGTGCACGCGCACACGCGCGCGCTATAAGTGGGTACTCAGAACCCAGAAAAGGGCATCAGATTCCCTGGAGCTGGGGTTTCAGGCAGTTGTGAGTAGCCTGACATGGGTTCTGGGAACTGAACTGGAGTCCTCTGTAAGAGCAGTGCAAGTTCTTACCCACTGAGCCATCTCCCTAAAGCTGTCTTGATAACATAGTCTTAAAATGTTTTCCAGAGAAAAATCTGAATACTGTGGTATTCAGAGGAGGAATGTTGAGATGGCAGCTTCTTTTGACAGTCACTTAATGCTTGCTTCTCTAATTTACATCTACTGAGTGTGTCAGGACTCTAATGGCCATGACAGCTACTGTATCACAAATTATATATAATGTGCACTGCAGCTCTCTCTTGTAAAGAAATGCAGGAAAAGTTTCAAAAGTGTCCAAGGTCACCAATGAGTCAGTAACAAAGTTGGAAGGTAACACTAAAACTTCAGCTCCTACACTACAAACCACTTTCCCAATCCCAAATGAGAGGAAAGAGCCAACTGGCTATTTTCAAAACCTTCCAACACCGTAGTACACTGACTAAATACAAATCAAAGATTCACCTTGGGCCAAAGAAAAAACATGTTACGCTTGCATACCATTATCTCCTTCTTTGTTCTCATAACCATATAACACAATATGAAAAACCAACTGACTTTGGCTATATTAAACCTTGGTAATGTGTGTACTCTTCAATATGGACAACTTATTTTCCCACTAACTGAACATTTATAAGTTAATCTTTCATCACCTTGTCACATTCCGTCCGAGGTGCTATGGGCTACATCACTTCCTCACTCAACAGTCAAAAGTTAAAAACAAGCAATTCTCAGAACATAGCTACACTGCCAATGACAAAAAGGAGGGGAAAGCGCCAATAAATTGCTGCTTTTAACGAGACATTTTTAAACACGGTGACGTGCTTCACAGAATTACTGTTAAGTTCTTGGCTGGTTACTTTAAAGTAGCATTTAAGGCATATCCCTCCCTGTTTGGGACAGCCCGACTCGTTAGACAAGATAAATCTAGGCTCACTCACACAGAACACCTCTGAAGCAACTTAGCTTATTGAGAACATCATTGCAACCTCCCAAGCGTGAGTATCCAGCCCTCTCATAGTACGAGGGACAGACTGTCCCTCTTCAAAAATCTTTCAGGAGAAGGTTCCCCCGCGGAGACAATGACAGCAGTACTCCCGGGAAGGTCTTTGGAAACAGTGTTGACACCGGGAGAAGAGGCTCCTCGGAAGTGTCAGTGCGGCAGCAGGTGGAGTAGCCCTGCGTGCCGAGCAGGTCCTTTCTGACCTAGTCTCCAAGTCCTCCGCCTCCCTGTCCCGGTTCCGCCTTACGGACCTTTCCAAGGCGCCTCGCGCCCCGGTTCCCTCACCCAGGGCAGGATTCTCGAGCCTCCCGGGAGGCGAGGCCACCCTAAGACGGCCGCCGCACCTCTTCCGGGGACTCGCAGGCCCGCTCCCCGGCAGTGTCGGAACCCGACGGACCCCACCGGGGGGAAGGCAGGCAGCTGCTCCCGGGGTCTGTGCTCGCGCCCCGGTTCCAGAGCCCCGTCCCTTTCGAGGCACCGCAGCCGTCACCCGCCTCACTCCTGAACCCCTTCTCCTCCGGAGTACCCCAGCGGAGTTACCGGCCCACTCAAAAGTCCCAGCGCCGGCCGCCCCCACCGGTCACCCCGGCCTCGCTGTCACCGCCCAGCTCCCGGCTTCGGCCCGCAGCGCCGGCGTGCCCCCGGTGACGCTCGGGTCGGTACCTTGCGGACCCCCTTGTAGATATAGAAGTAGAGCTCCCGGCCCACATTGAAGCAGAGGCGGTCGCCGTTGCCAGACTGGTCGTTGAGGTTTACGAAGGAGACGCGGACAGGGTTGGATCCCTGCGAGTTGAAGGGCACCCGGTTGGGCCGGCTGTACTCCGAGTGCGGCAGCAGCTTGTACAGACCTTCCCGGGTGGTGAATTGGGTCTTAATCTCGTTCATCTCCTTCCCTCCTCCCTCCGTCGCCATCTTGGAAAGCAGCGTTCATCCTGCCCTAAGTGCCCGGATCACGCCCACCGCGCAGGCGCCGTCCACGGCCGCTCGTTCTCCGCCCCCCACCCCCTTGGTCGCGGCCCCGCCCATTCGCGAGCCCGCCCCCGCGAGGGCGGGGCCGAGGCGAAGGGGGCGGGGTCGCTCACGGTCCCACTGCGCACGCGTGCTCACCTGGCGCGCTCCGCCAGGCGGGGCGAGCGCAAACCCCTCCCCCTGGGTGCCGCCCTCTCCATGCCTGTGGGAAAGCTCCGCTCGCAGAGCTGCGCTCAGGCGTTCCTTGGGTGAGGTGAGTCGGTGGGCGCTCTGGCGCTTCGCTGAGAGACCCTAACTCGAGAAGCCGAGGGAGGGCGCCGCCTTGGCCTCGGCCGGCTGGCACCCCTCGAGACTGAGCCTGAGCCGAGCAGTGAGGTCCGGTGTGTGGACCTGTGCGTCCCAGCTGTGCTCGCCCTCCTGGGGAGGACGCGGGCGGTCCCGATGGGTGCAGGGTCCTGAGCCCCTCTACGCCTCCCAGAGGCGGTTTTTCTCCGAAGATAGAGAAAGATTGGGGTTTATTACACTTCACGGTTTTGTTTTTGTTCGTTGGTGGTTTGTTTGCAAGTGGGGTTGGGAAGAAGAGCCTAAGTGCACAGGACTTGTGTTTTCAAGTCTCACCTGAAATCTGAGGGGTGAGCACTGGCTGGTTCTTGAGAAAGTAGGTTGTGTTGGCGCCCGTGTCTCCTGTGCTATCGCCGTCACTCGCTGTCTAGAGGAAGGGGCGAGGGTCAGAGCCCGTGGCTTTGGAAGCTAGACATTGAATCTGTGCATGCATGGTTTTCTTGCTCAGTAGTTAATACCGCCTAATAAAGGTAAGGCTAATTAGTTTTTTTAAAGCCTCACATGGATCTTGAAGTTGTTTGCTAGGAGAACCATGAAGTTGTATGAATATTCTGTACAAAGTCTAAATACTAAGAAAAAGCTCACACATTAAAGTAATATTAAACCTTTGATGCATCGATTTCTGGGTATGTGCACTGGAATACGAAGGCTTCTAAAGTAATAAACGTTATAATAGAATTCTAGAATGGAAAAAAAGAATGTTACACGAAGAATGAACTATTCCTGAAAAGTCATGTCTGTAGAGTAGAAAATAAGTGGAGCAAGCTCAGTACCGTGGTGGGCACCTGTAGTTCCAGACAGAAGGAATGCCTGAGCCCAGATGTCGGAGGCTAGCCTAGCCCATGGAGCAAGACTCCCGACTCACAGAAATTAATTGTAAAAAAGTGAGGAGCGTTCGAAAGAACTTGAAATGATAAACATTTTATGTAGTAGAAAGCAAATACATAGGCCGGGCGTTGGTGGCGCACGCCTTTAATCCCAGCACTCGGGAGGCAGAGCCAGGCGGATCTCTGTGAGTTCGAGGCCAGCCTGGGCTACCAAGTGAGCTCCAGGAAAGGCGCAAAGCTACACGGAGAAACCCTGTCTCGAAAAACCAAAAAAAAAAAAAAAAAAAAAAAAAGAAAGCAAATACATAAACAGTAGAAACTGTACCAATGTTGTAATAATGCATTTGACACTAACACCTTGTAGCTTTCATATATGCTGGAGATATATATATATTATCACTACAGTAAAATCCTTTCTTCCTTATTTATTTATTTATTTATTTATTTATTTATTTATTTATTTATTTATTTATTTATTTATTTTTAGAGACTGTATCTCACTAAATAGCCCTGGCTGTCCTGGAACTCCATAGGAGACCAGGCTGGCCTCCAACTCAAAAATATGCCTGCCAAGTGCTGGGATTAAAGGACAGATCTACACACCCATCTTAAAACCTTAATACATTTCTAGAATACACCTTAAATTTCATTTTTTTGTTATTGGTCTTTTCCTAAAATGCAAAGATAGATCAAAACTCTTAAAAATACTAGGGCATGTTCGATGGGCAATCTCAATCTCCCATAGCTATGTTATTTTGCACCAAAACCAGGTGTTTATAATGGTCATCTTGAGGGATAAGTAACAGCTCGAATTATCTAAAAAGAATGCAGTTGGGTTTTCTAGTTAATAGGGGGAAATAGGCTTTGGGAGGGGAAACCTCAGCAAACAGAAACTGAAAAAATGTTGACCTTCAACCATAAGGTTGAATTGCTCATAAAACCAATATACTACTGGGCATGATGCTAATGTCTTAACCTCAGCACTTAGGAGAGAGAGGCAAACAGACGTCAAGGCCAGCCTGGTTTACACAAAGACTTCCAGAGCACTCAGGCCACATAGTGAAACCCTGTCTTAAAAAAAAAAAAAAATTAAGACTGATATGCCTTAAGATTTATATTAAGCTGTCTCAAAAAAAACAAAAAAAAAAGATTTATATTAAGGTTTTATTCTATACATTTTTTTTCTTGCCAAACATGGTAGCATATTCCTGAAATGCCATCATTCCCAGAGACTGAGAAAGGATGATGGAGAACTCAGAGCCAGCCAAGCATAGTGGCATACACCTGTAATACCAGTACTTGGGAAGTGGGAGCAGGAGGATCAGGAGTTCAAGGACATTCTCAGTTAAGTAGTCAGTTGAGAAACCAGCCTGGGCCACTTTAGACCCACTCTAAAAAAAGAAGTGATTCCAGCACTTGGGAGGCAAAGGCAGGCAGATCTCTGTGAGTTCGGGGCCAGCCTGGATGAGTTCCAGGACAGCTGAGGCTACACAGAGAGATCCTACCTCCTCCCCCCAAAAAAAGAAAGAAAGAATTCAGTGCCAGCCTGTGCTACATAGCAAGACATTATCTAAAAACAACAACCAAAGCTAGAAAGATGGCTCAGTGGTTAAGAACACTTGCTAATCTTTCAGAGGAGCCAGGTTTGATTCCTAGCACCAACATGACAGCTAGCAACCTTCTTTCTGCAACTCCAGTTCCAGGGAATCTTTCATCTCTTCTGGCCTCCACAGGCACTGCATGCATAAAATACACAGACATACATGCTGGTAAAATACCCATATACATAAAAAATAAAAATCATCTAGGCATGGTAGTATACACCTTTAATCTCAGCACTCAGGACATAGAGGCATATGGATCTCTGTGAGTTCATGACCAGCCTGGTCTATAGAACCAGGACATCCAGAGCTACATAGAGAGACCCTATCTCTCTCTCAAAAAAAGTATGATTCCTTTTCACAAAATGTTAGAATTTTGTAGCTGGGCAGTGGTAGCACACACCTTTAATCCCAGCACTCAGGGAGGCAGAAGCAGGTGGATCTCTGTGAGTTCAAGGCCAACCTAGTCTACAAAGAGAGTGCAAGGACAGCCAGTGCTGTTACACAGAGAAACCCTGTCTCAAAAAAAATTTTTTTATTAAAAATTGTGTTTCTAGACCTTGAAGACACAGTCTAGTAGAATGTGGTTAGCAAGGGGTTACTTATTTCATACATACTTTCAGTTAGTATGAAATAAGTCCTAGAGCTCTTTTGTACAGGCTAGTATTCAGTTATAACAAGATAGCATATTTTGGAAGTTGATAAGAAAGTAGGTTTTAAGTGTTTCACCACAAAAAGTAAATACCTAGTTGTGCATGGTTGCCCACATCTGTAATCCCAACAGTGGAGGTAGAGGAAGGAGGATCAGGTGTAAAAGGTTATCATCAGCTACATAGTGATTTTAAGCCCAGTCTGGGCTACATGAGACACTGTCTCAAAAATAAAAAAGAAATACCTGAGAAAATGGGTATGTTAATTAACTTAAGCCAATTCCACAACATACTTGTACACTAAATATGCTATCCATGATAAATATATAATTTGCATGTGTCAGTTAAAAATGGTTTTGAACATCTGGAGAGATGGCTCAGCAGGTAAGAGCACTGGCTGCTCTTCCAGAGTACCTGGGTTCAATTCCCAGCACCCATATGGTAGCTCACAGCCATCTTATAACTCCAGTTCCATGGGATTCATCTTTTGGCCTCTGTGGACACTGCACTGATGTGGTTCACAGACATACATACAGTCAAAATGTTTAAAAATGGTTTTGAAGCCAGGCAGTAGTGGTGCACACCTTTAGTCCCAGCACTTGGGAGGCAGAGGCAGGCAGTTCTCTGTGAGTTCAAGGCCAACCTGGTCTACAGATTGAGTTCCAGGACAGCAGCCAGAGCTACACAAGAAACCCTGTCTCAAAAAACCTATAAAAATTCTAAAATTATATATTAAGATTCCTTCCTTAGTTAATATTTAGAATGAACAACTTAGTCTGCTTCCTTATTTTTTAGTCATGTACCCAGATTGCACTGAATATATAATAGTTCTTTTTAAAAGTGTTCAGTGATGATAAAGATCATTGATAATGCTTACCAAAAAAAAAGCAAAAGGCCCTAAGGCAGTAATGTGCCTAAGAGAATCACAGATTAGTAAGAGGGATAGTGCGGTAGATGAAGCCATTGCAGGGTTAAAGAATCCATTTGGGGGCTGGGGCTATGGTTCAGTAGGTAAAAGCACTACATAAGTTTTATGACCTGAGTTCCAGAACCCATGGAAAAACTGTGCATTTCTATAATACTATCATTCCTATGGTGAGGTGGGAGGCCAAGACAGGAGAATCCTCTGGAAATTTACAGGCCAGCTGGTCTGGATTATGCAACACAGGAATAAAATGAGAGACCCTACCTCAAAAACAAGGTGGAAGTTGAGGACACTTAAGGTTGTTCTCTGATTACAGATGCATGATGGCACAAATGTACCTCATACATATGTTATATACACATACATGCACACATAAAAAATTTTAAAGAATCCATTTATTTGCTGATTTGAGAGTAGATTAAGGGAAGGAAAAATTGGGATAGTAGAAGCTATTTACGATGATGCCCATTGTGTTTTATTTACTTATTTATGAGTATATGTGTGTATGTGCATGTGCACATGTGGTCAGGGGTCCACTTTGTTATTTCATTATGTAGACCAGGCTGACCTCCAGCTCACAGTGGTCCCTTTGCCTTTTTTCCTGAATGCTAGCATTAAAGTTACACCGCCCATATCTTCCATATACATTAAATTGCAAGTGACTATCTTGGTTTTTTTTTTTTTTTTTTTTTGAGACAAGGTCTCACTCTGTAGCCTAGGCTAACCTGAACCTCATGGCAGTCCTCCTGCCTCAGTTTATGAGTGCTGGTATTACAAATGTGAGCCACCATACCCAGATTTTTATTTTATTTTATTTTATTTGAAGAATTTATTTTATTTATTTTTTTTTCAAGACAGGGTTTCTCTGTGTAGCTTTGCACCTTTCCTGGAACTCACTTTGGAGACCA